AAACAATTACACATTGGTAAATGTGCTATTAGTTCGTACTTTTGAAAAAAAATGCCCCAAAAATATAAATTGCTTTGTTGGTGATTCATTCATAAATGTTATCACTCACCTGTGATGTGAAATTAGTTTGATTTCTTTCAGATATTTTCTTCAGTTTTGCTCAGTTACTTCTTCAGTGTTTAATGATTGTGAAGTTATATTTAGTTCACTATTATCGATCTAGTGCTCATACTTTTCAGTTTTGTTGAAATTCACGTTTTTAGACCTTTTAGGGTAATGCTGATTAATCCCAGGGAATACCTCTTGTCTGCCTCTGATTAAATTTGTAGGGCTTGATATGCCAGGCTTGGAATAAGGTCTACATGCAATCTCGCAGATTTACTGCAGACATACAAAGAAGTTCAGTTGACTGAAATTCCTTTTTAATGTTAAGATTTGGGGTTGAGCTATCTACATAAGTACAGTAGATATATTCCGATTCAGTCATGGTAACGTTCAGTGGTTATGATGTTTCACAGTACAGAGTTGTCTCCCTTGGGCATGCCAGAACAGTACAATCGTAGTTCATTTCCCTCAGTTTGGCCCGATTGTGTTTCTTGGTTGCACCCTACCTGTGCTGGTTGGTTTTAGTATGAATGGAATACTGTTTGAAGTAGTTATAAACAAAACTCACTTGGGTAGTTGGGTAGCCTTAGTAGTGGTTAAAACATTCGTGTCACACCAAAGACTAGGTTCGATTCCCCACATGGGTACAGTGTGTGAAGCCCATTTCTAGTGTCCCCCACCTTGATATTTCTGGAATATTGCTAAAAGTGGCGTAAAACCATACCCACTCACTTATTTATGCTCTTCCATAATTATGGCCAATTCAGAAAGCCTTTTACTTGTTCACATTTGTTATATGCAGACCTTTAGTCTGTAATAACGATCAGCTGCGGCTGATGAGGATGACATTAATATGGTATGTCTACCCAATGAAAGACTACACAACGCAGAAGTGTGGATGACAATGAGCGCCGTGTGGATGGCTACGACGGACCGGATATATAGCTTAGCTTTTTATGCCCTCCGCCGTAAAGGCAGACAGGCAAAGCATAGGCAAGTTTGCACTTCCTCCCGCTGAGACAGCAGGCAGGTAAGGCATTGCAAACTTTGTACTTCCTCCCGCTGGAGACAGCAGGCAGGAAAAGCAGGCTGATAAGGCATTGCAAACCTTGTATATCCTCCCCGCGGAGACAGCAGGCAGGAAAAGCAGGCTGATAAGGCATTGAAACTTTTGTACTTCCTCCCGCGGAGACAGCAGGCAGGAAGGTTTGGGCTGCCACTGTGAAAGCAGAAGCCAAGTATCCCCTTTATTAAGCCTATTTAGTGTTTAGTCCCGCGGCACCATGCCCACCGCACCTGTTTATTACAAAGGAAGCAAGACACAAAGGTTATGGTACATGTTATGCATACTGAGAACTGTACAAAGACTTAATATAAGTCGCGGCATTTAACAACCTTCATGCTTCAGCACCCCACTCCCCAGATCATGTGCTGCAGCAGGGAAGGGTGGGTGGGAAATTATTATGGATGAAGCAAGATGGTGAACCTGTCAGGACAGCATGCAGAATAGAAAGGAAACGGACGCGACGTGATGCCCGCGGATGTGACATCACTCCGAAGTGACGAGCTACTATTATGGAATGCGGAAATAATACACTGCCACGCGCGCTGTTACACTGGATACTTATCATAAGATAAGTGTATGAATACTTTGCAAAGAATTGTATATTCCACCCATCCCCTTTATCAAATTATGCCTTTAGTACCTAAAGGTTAAGACAGATATTTCACGAACTACACTGCCGACTGTGTGTTAGCCGCATGCCGAAATGAAGATGATTAGAAATGACATAATTCAAGGTGAAGTTAAACGCTACATATCCGAAAGTGTATTTCACTTGCCAGAGCAGTGCTAGAGCTGTGCGAATGTAAATGCTGCCTATAAACCCATTTAGCAACTAATGCTAAATGCCATTATATGCAGACCTTTAGTCTGTAATAACGATCAGCTGCGGCTGATGAGGATGACATTAATATGGTATGTCTACCCAATGAAAGACTACACAACGCAGAAGTGTGGATGACAATGAGCTGCGTGTGGATGGCTACCGACGGGACCGGATATATAGCTTAGCTTTTGCGCCCTCCGCCGTAAAAGGCAGACAGGCAAAGCATAGGCAAGTTTGCACTTCCTCCCGCTGAGACAGCAGGCAGGTAAGGCATTGCAAACTTTGTACTTCCTCCCGCTGGAGACAGCAGGCAGGAAAAGCAGGCTGATAAGGCATTGCAAACCTTGTATATCCTCCCGCTGAGACAGCAGGCAGGAAAAGCAGGCTGATAAGGCATTGAAACTTTTGTACTTCCTCCCGCTGAGACAGCAGGCAGGAAGGTTTGGGCTGCCACTGTGAAAGCAGAAGCCAAGCATCCCCCTTTATTAAGCCTATTTAGTGTTTAGTCCCGCCGGCACCATGCCAACAGGCCCGCGACGCTGCCCACTGCCGACAGCGAAGCCGGGCTGCCATCCACAACGAAGTTAAAGAGTTAAAGGTGGGAGTAGGGGAGAGGACGAGAAAAGGTCTTAATGTTTGAATGCTGCCAGGATGGCACGATGTTGGGCGTCCATACCTGGCTTGGTTAGGTGAACCCCGCGGCCCAGATAATGAGCGGGTCAGGTGTGAATGATACAACCCCGCCGCCCAGCTGCTCTTTCACGATGTTGCTGACTCTACGATTTAATTTTTTTTCTTCAGCTCGAGGGCTGAGATCAATAGCTCCACGCCACTGAAGCCGAGGCAGCATCTGCGACCAGATGATGGTGGCAGCTGGGCAGCGCAGGCGAATATACAGCAATTCCTGGTGCATGTCATCGTAGAGGACTTTGAAGGACCTCACACAGGTCGTTAGGAACCCAGGTGGATCACGATAAACGACCTGCATGGGCCCCTCGCCTATTAGCCCGGCCCACCCTGCTGCGTAGTTCCGACCACCTGAGGCCCCCTTGTCGACCAGATGACCCCGGCGAGGCCCAGGCTGCTTCGGTGCGCCCGAGGTGTTGTTGCAGCCTCGCCATGTAGCTTGAGCCAATCACCCACGATGGTCCTGCAACCCATATTTCTTAAATTAGTTTTGTGTGCTTAGCCGGGGGATACGGATATACGCCTGGTAGGCATTCGATCTCCAGCGGCCAAATTCCTGAATCTGAACTGCCGGAATTCCTTGCAACGCTGCTGTGGTTGCTGCCCCTATCCGAAATGAATGAGAAGAGTAAAGATTAATATTGATGGGTTGTTTTGCTGCCGCTTAGCGCCTTCCTGAGCACTGCCTGAAACTGAAATCTTGTTAGAGGAGCGGAATTAGTGTGAATAAAGAAATATCCATCTGTACGCGGGTCGCACTGCCAAAAATCGTGTCAAAGCTTTGACGGGCACAGTATGGACCGAGGGACTGCTTGAATGGCGATGCGTGTGCCGCGGCCTTGTTGATCTGTTTTGGAGGCCCGTAGGACCACCTCGACGTAGGATTGGTCGCTAGCGAAAGATAGGTCATTCAGCAACAACGCCCGCTGTGATGAGTCGCTGATTGAACCGCAACTACCTCACTTACCCTGAAAACCCAAAAATGTTAGCAGGTATGCCGCTGAAAACATAGAAGCTTCATATGAAGACCTACATACAGTGGGGAGGAGTTGCACAATGCGAAGTTAGCAGATCGAGTGTAATCGGCTGACGGTATCTGGCTGCCTCGATCTCCTGGCCATCCCTGCAATGGCTTTCTGCACTAGGAAGTGGTTAGACATGCACTGCAAGGAATTGAGCTTGTGTATGGAGGATAATGCTGAAATGTAAGAACGGGCCGCGCTGGGAGACCTACCTGATAATGAGAGATAAGCTATAAAATGAAGCATATGATCTAAAGGTACAGGCCATATGTCAGGCAGGAGTACACCACCCGAAATAGCCGTAGTGACTGTACCGCCGACTCATAAGTCCTCCAAGTGTTTGCTGCCATCGAGTTTGCTACTAGACTGTTTGCTTCCGCTGTTAGATGAGCCAGATGTCCGCTGGGATTCCTGAGGCCTGATGATCCGCCTGTGGGCTGCTGCTCAAACCGCGACCACTGAAATCTCGAAAGAGCCGCCTGCTATTATGTTGGCCTGAGTTGGTATATACTGTGCTTTGAAGTGTATGTTGTTCTGCAAGCATATGAGGACCATTCGCCTGAGCAGTTTCATTACCCTTTGCCCTTTGGCAGTGTGCCTGTTGATAATACTCACCACGGCCTGGTTGTCACAGAACATTAGTACCCTTTGTTGGCCAGACTGCTGCCCCATATGCGCAATGCCACGACTATAGGAAAGAGCTCTAAGCATGTAATGTCTTTCACCCATCCTTGTTGTATCCATAGATCTGGCCACCTGGCATTGGCCCAATGACCTTGGAAATATGCACCCCAACCCTGAGCCAGCTGCATCTGTATAAAGTTGAGTATTGGGGTTGTAACCCAACCCTGTTCCAAGAATAAGGTTGTGCCATTGTGCCTGGCAAGAAACTGAAGCCACAGATTAAGGTCTTCACGCATACCCGCTGATACCCGTGATCCTGTGGTGTGGCTTATGCGTTCCCCTTTTGTGCGTCGATGAGACGCCGCAAGAATGGACGACCCATGGGAATTGCCTTGCATACAAAGTTTAGCTTTCCCACTATTGACTGCAGCGTATGCAGTGTAACTTTCTTGGATGATGAGTCTACCAGCTGTGACAGCTGATGGACCAGTTGTGCTATCTTGTCCTCCGGTATCCTGATTTCACCCCGAGCCGCGTCTATGGTGAGGCCCAGGAATGTCAGACAAGTTGTAGGTTGTACAGTCTTCTGGTGAGCGATAGGCACGCCCAGATTATCAGCCAGTTGCAAAGAGGTGTTAAGCATGTTGGAGCATTTGTTTAGGTCCACTGCCGCCAGGATAAAATCATCAAGGTAATGAGCGATGTCCTGACTGCACGTAGTGGCCTTGATAGCCCATTCAATGAAAGTGCTGAATGACTCAAATAGGGCACAAGAAATGGAACAGCCAAAGGGAAGGCATTTATCAATGTAAAATTGTTCTTGAAACTTAATGCCGAAAGTAGCTGAAAGTCCGATGGTACCACAGGCAGGAGGCTTAAAGGCTGATTTGACGCCAAATTTTGACATGTAAGCACCCCTGCCCAAGTTTTGAATCATGGCTACAGCCTGGTCGAAACTGGTGTACTGCACTGTACATGCTTCCTGTGGTATAAAATCATTGATTGATGAGCCTTGAGGATGCGATAAATGATGGATGAGGCGGAAGGCAGCCTCACCATGAACTGATGAATCAACTTTCTTAGGCACCAAGCCGATTGGGGAAACTATAAGAGATTGCACTGGTCTGTACGAAAATGGGCCTGCCATGCGACCCAACAGAATTTCTTTTTGCAGCTTTTGCTCCACTATTAGTGGCTGTTCCCTGGCAGATTTAAGGTTGACAGCGTCCCGAATGACCCGCGGGCCCTTCAGAGTTTAAGCTGAAACCCTTACTGAAACCCTCCTGTAGTAACTGAGCTGCTGCTGGATTGCACAATTTATATTGCTGCAACCATTGTTCCAAGCAAGGGATGTTAATTGGAGTTGGGGCCGTGTGAAATAGCTCTGCCTGGCAAGGTAGGTTGACGCTTAAGAGATTGGGCGGTGGTGACTGTGTTCTTTTGCCACGAAAAACAAGACATGGCGCCATGCCCGCCTATGTTACATGCTGAGCACCTGTGTGCATAACGGCACATCTGACCCTCTCGCAAGTGCCACGATTGAAGTTTCTACATACCTCTGTGCTGCTGAGTGTAGGTGGAGGCTCTGGCTGGGTAGGCAAATGCCTGCTGCTTGTGGCTGGGGAGCATTAACTGCAGCCACAGTTGTCCGTCGATGGCACCCCATGACCGAAATGGGTCCCTCTCCATTTTTGCCTAAACTGGACGCCGATTGAGACCAGCAGTCACCGCCAAATCGTGATGCGGCACCGCTGATCGCCTCCATGTAATGAGCATTTGTTGTATCTTGTTGACATCCGCCTGACGCTCTATTACCACGCTGATAAAAGTCAAGAAAGCAGATGTCCAAGCCCCAATGTTTAATTGACGGACAGACAGCTGCTTGGGTTTAAAAACTACCTGTCCTGAAATATCAAGCTCCATTGTGAAGTTGGAACTCTCCTGTGCTGCCTGGTTCTCTGGTGGCAATAGGGACCTCATATCTACAAATTCCCCACGATGGATCTTTTCCCTCACTGCTTGCTTCACATGGAAACTTATAGTCTCCGCCTCTGAAGTTCAGCTGTTGATTTGACAGTGCCTCTGCATTAATCAGTGACTCGATTAGAGAAGGGTTGCCCCTGTATACAGAAGTTTGGCATAGCGGTGGACTCTCGCGGTGGCTGTAACTCAACATCAGGCCTAACAGAGCTTGGAATTAACAACCCGCGAAATACTAATATGCCCAAAGTGAGACGCACTTTGATTAGTGGATGACGGAGCCATCGGGTGATGAAGCTTGGCTCCAGCGGGGTGTCACATTGATGGTTGCCGGAGGAACCTCACGCGGTGTAGACACAGAGGGTGGTGCGGGTTGGTTGGCCTGAGGGGCAGCGCCCCAGGGACAACACCAGAAGCTGCGCCCCTTTGCCTGACGCCTGGCAACCTTAGGGCGCCCCTGACCACAGCGTGGTTGATGGCTGCCTTGGCGCTTTGGTGGCATGATGAGTTGCTCGAAAGAAAGTTGTACAATTATTTAAAACAATCAAGAATTCAGATGAAAAGGACGTAATGTGATAGCGGATGCGAATTAAGTATTAAGTTAATTCAGAATTTTTACGAGATAACAAAATTTGAGCCAAGATCGAGAAATTATTATGGATGAAGCAAGATGGTGAACCTGTCAGGACAGCATGCAGAATAGAAAGGAAACGGACGCGACGTGATGCTCATGGATGTGACATCACCCGAAGTGACGTGAGCTACTATTATGGAATGCGGAAATAATACACTGCCACGCATGCTGTTACACTGGATACTTATCATAAGATAAGTGTATGAATACTTTGCAAAGAATTGTATATTCCACCCATCCCCTTTATCAAATTATGCCGCCTTTAGTACCTAAAGGTTAAGACAGATATTTCACTTAACTACACTGCCGACTGTGTGTGCTAGCCGCAACTAATGCTAAATGCCAGTAAAATGAAGATGATTAGAAATGACATAATTCAAGGTGAAGTTAAACGCTACATATCCGAAAGTGTATTTCACTTGCCAGAGCAGTGCTAGAGCTGTGCTTTTAAGTTGGAATGTAAATGCTGCCTATAAACCCATTTAGCAACTCTAATGCTAAATGCCATTAAGCAGATGTGGGAAGACAATTACCTAGAATGTTTTATCCAGATTACAATACAAATCACAGACCTTTCTCTGGCAACCCCTGGTCTCTAACTTTTGGCTTCATTATCCCAATATCGATGTTCCTAATGACATTGCCTGTTGGATGTGTTTGAGATGAGAAGGGAATTTTCTTGTCTCTTCCTCTGATTAAAGTGGTAGAAATGGACGTCATACACTCAGAATAATCTATATTCAAGGTTTCCAGATGATTAGATCAATGTGGAAACCAATCACACAAATGTACAAGCAGACATTCCACCTTACATTTTGACGTCAAGTGTCCGCAATTCCTTTTTAAAGTTTAAATTATGGTTTTTCTATCTATATAAGTAGATATATTCAGATTCTATGTAATCATGGTAACTTACAGTGATTATGATGTTACACAGAGTTGTGTCCCTTGGGCATGCCAGAACACTATGATCATGATTCAAATCCCTGTTCTTCTTCCTAATGATGTTTCTTGGTTCGTCTGCCCCCTACCTGTGATCATCGGTTTCACTAAGGTTCTAAACATCTAACACCTGCATGAGTTAAGGTTCGCCTCCATATCAATCTTATCGCTGTAAAATATAATCCATACTGTCCATAAGTAGTGTTGGGAATTGGTTGAAATCTCAAAATTGATGATTGGTTTAATACCAACGACCAATCATCGAAAAAGAATTGGTTAGCGTCATTTTGTAGATTTTCCTATTCAGGTTGTAGTTGCAGATAAGTATAAAGAAAAAAAACCATTTGGTTCTCTGTTGTATTTTTTAGAAACTGCACAAATCACATTTGCAGATTTCACATCCAGTGTAAAATGATTCAGTTCCAGTGTAACATTAACTTCCAAGATTCTTCAAGAAATATTCAGTCATGACTTTTCAGAAAGTGAAGTGAGTTTTCTTAGAAATAAACACGCTTTTCAGGCCCTGACAACGCCCTAGATATGTTCCATCATCAAGTATTTCAAACTCTATTACAGCGTTTCCAAAATCGCTTTGTGTTCGATTATGAGAAAATGTGATCGATTGCTTGGTCGCTTGGCCACTGCGACCAATCTTCGACATTTCAATTAATCGGACCACCACTATCCATAAGTGGTTAAGATGAACTACACTCATTTGTGCACAATTGTGATTGTTACCAAATCACATAACGGTAACTCTTTTTTAACTGAAGTGATCTCTGAAAATGTTTTGAATAGCAGTGAATATGTTTTTTTAGATATCTGAAAATATGTGTATTAGGCTCCATTGGATTATGCCTGACAAAACAATATGTGTCAATGCTTTAAAAATAAGTAAAAAAACAAGAGGAAATGATGTAATTGTATCAAATCCTGTTGACACCTGCGCTGCTGGAGGCCATGAATAGAAACAAAATACCTGATAAATGCCAGTATTCGCAAAGAAATTGTTACCAAAATATGCTGATGCAACCAAACACTTTGCTGACTAATCAAGTTAATAGGTTTGTACTGACACCATCGGGAGCTGTTCATCCCAAATACACCAGGCCGGACAGTCCTGAATTATTGATTGTATTTTCTGATATTTTTGGTAATCCTAAACCGAGCATCAATAAAAACTTGCCAATATGACAACTGGTAAATCTATTTCCAGAGAGATGTGAGAGAACAAACGAACGTAATGTAACACCTGCAGAGACAGAGGCTATATTTGTAGATGCTATACAAGATAAAGCCATGATGAATTAATGATTAGATTTTCATCAGCACCACGTGTCGTCATTGTATGACTCCGAATATCAGATGAAGGCTTGTTGGATGGTTGGTCGTTGTTTAACGCAGCACTCAGCAATATTCCAGCTATATGATGGCAGTCTGTAAATAATCCAGTCTGGACCAGACAATCCAGTGATCAACATCATGAGCATCAATCTACACAATTGGGATACAATGACGTGTCAACCAAGTCAACGAATCTGACCACCCAATCCCGTTAGTCACCTCTTACGACAAGCATGGGTTGCTGAAGACCAATTCTAACCTGGTTCTTTACAGGTCATCAGATGAAGGAAGTCTTGTAGAAATACTTGATACATACTATATGTAGATCTGACAAACAGCATCATCATCAGTTGAAACAGATGATTTTAGTGCTTCCAGTGATTAAATGGTCCTTTATTATTGCGTTTGTTAATTTGTGCTCCCCCATGCAAGTTTAGCAGGGTGCAGTGCCCTGCCCTTTTATTTGGCCCCTGCCCTTCTTTTATTACAATGATTGATATCAACACTTGATGGGTTTTAGTTTCTATTTGATGTTGAAGTTAAGCAAATTAACTGTGCTCATTAAGCCCTGAAGAGTCATATGCATCAGGTAAACTAAACATAATTCTTGGTAATCTGCCATTGCATGCCATTTTTGGAATAGGGGTGCCACTTTTGAAATTCTCTTGCCCTGCCCTTTTTGGATCCTGGGGGAAATGTTATTAAGGCGAGTCCAATTATATTTCTTGTTTTACGGATCCGCTGGTCGTATTTTTTCAAGAATTAGAAAAATAGTATAAATTAATTTTCCCGCCCAAAAAATAAAATTTTACTATTTTTATTAGCCAAATATGTAAATGTGCAAGAAAATATTTTTAGATTGTTTTTTGCCACATATATACTTCATAAATTGCCCAAAGTAAAATACTTTTAGTATTTAAAAGAAATATTACTTTGACTGGTGATTTTTATTTTTATTTTTTTTCCCTCCTGGGGCGGTGGGGTAGCCTAATGGTTAAAGCGTTGGCTCGTCACGCTGAAGACCCGGGTTCGAATCCCCACATGAGTCAATGCGTGAAGTCCATTTCTGGTGTCCCCGCCGTGATGTTGCTGGAATATTGCTAAAAGCGGCGTAAAACTAAACTCAGGCTGTCAGTCAGTTTTTCCCTCCTGCCTTTAGTTTTTTTAGGACAAAAATCCGAAAAACAAGAAATGAAATTTGTCTGGCCTAATGTTAATGTTTTAGTAGAGTGTGTGTGTTAGATGGTAGACAAAACAAGATGTTTTCCAGACTTCTGTATTTACCTTATATCCTATTTGTCACAATAGCTAGGCTATCAACAGCTATTACTTGTGCATAAGTGCACAGTCTGGCCTTAGGAGCCATAAATAAAACAATGACTAGCTTATCGCTTCCTTCTCTGATTATAGGAAGCTAATCTCCCCAACCCCAGTTCCACACCAAATGTCACCCACTTGAAAATATCATGTTTAACAAGACAACACTGAATATTGGAAGATGTAGTTTTAATTATGGGATGTATGTACATTTTAAAAACTTCAACAAAAACTAACACAATGTTTCTTCCTTTCCTGACCTTCTCCATTAATCGGGGCAGTGGTTACAGCGTTGGCTCGTCACACCGAAGACCCAGGTTCTTTTCCCTACATGGGTACAATATGTGAAGCCTATTTCTGGTGTTCCCCGCTGTGATATTGCCGGAACATTGCTAAAAGCGGCGTAAAACAAAACTCACTCACTCAATTCCAAAGTCACAAATAATTAAATTTAAATGATTCTTACAATCATGTCTGAATGAATATATTCTTAGAGACTGTTCATGATTTATGGCTAGGGGGGTGATGATGATTTTAAGGGGGTCACCCATTTTGTTCTGGGGAGGTGGGCAGTCATCAATTTTGTATGACCTGCAACGGCTGCAAGGAGGGGGGGGGGGGGGCACTTTAAAAGGAGAGGTCTGACTAAAAACACAAAATATCGTTCAAAAACTTGAATCCTGAATTTATTTAACGTGTGGGTTAATTGACCTGATTCCCTGGGCATGCCTGTGGGTTTTACTGAAGTGGTAAATGCCTGGATGAAAGAGTAACATGTTTGGGTGGCTGAAACCCTTCACTTTTCTTTTGTTTCAGTGGCCTTCCATAATGCTCTTCCATTCATCGGGTTCGGCTTCTTCGACAACTTCATCATGATCGTCTGTGTAAGTCTGCAGGTTCCAATCAATATCCAATCAATTATTCAGAGCAGGTGTGATAAGGCCGTGTAATTATTAACGCTGTCTTCAGTCAATTACAGCTAGGCTATTTTACTCTCATCGTGTTGACCCCCTTCGTCAGGGGGATACGTTGCCGTAGTCAGCCTCTTTAGATCCCAGATTATATGGATGTGATTCAAGCCAACATATTGCCTGGGGTGCCGAGGATGATATTAGCCTCATCACTGAAAGGAATTAGGTGCTGCTATACTGGGAATAGTAATAGATGAACAGGGATTTGACTTAATATATCTCAGCATCTGTATTCGTTCAGTGTGACAATTCGGTACAGATGTTACTGCATCCTTCTGAGATGCCATACAACATACTAAAAGATAAAACTTGGTTTCTCTAAAAACACTGGATTATTTGGTCCAAACTTAATTATTTTCAGACCGCTTTCATTTAGCTTGAGAATTTCTGAGTGCAGTGTTAAACAATAAATGGTGGGTTTGTTGTTGTTTAACGCCAAGACTCAGCAATATTATTATGGAAGTCTGTAAATAATCGAATTTGGACCAGACAATCCAGTGATCAACAGCATGAGAAACAATAAATAGATGTTTTGTCATGTCATTATTTTGCAGTCACAATGACAGTTATGTGAGATAGCAGGGAAAGAATAAACCACCAATGGCTGTGGTTCATTTAAAGAGATCATTGCCGGCCATTACTCTTTCAATATTCATCCTGTTTACTTTGGAGTAAGCGCTTTAGACATTCTATAAAACAAATTTGAATTGAAGCTCCTTGTTTTACCAATAATTTTACCCTTTTTTCAGAAATTTCTTTTTCTTTGTAAAACTGAGGACAAAATGCATTTATAGAGCCATCCTTCCAGGTTGCTTAATCGCTGTTTTTTGCCAGATTTGACATTATTTTAAAAGATTTGTACATTAATTTCTCTATTTCTTTTTTGCCAGCTTTTTGGTTCAAGGAGTTTAAAGCATGGCTGAAAAAAAAATGAAACATAGTACTTTAGCATAGATTTGAAAAAATATGGAACCTGAAATATGGCTGCCATATTTTTTTAGTCCACAGATAAATTTTTTTAAAGTGATGACCCATTGCCCGACATCCGAGTCCAGGTTTTTTTTCTGTCGGGCAAGCAAATTTGTATATCACACTGTACCGGTGTCCAGTTGACTTTCCAATGTTAATTATGTTGTATATTTTAAAAAATCAACAAGAAAACAACCGGTATAGAGGGAAACTTATCAGGGCAAGTGATTTTACATGTGCCACTGTACTGGAGTACACTATCAATTTTAAAGTTATTTCCACCCCTGTTATTCAAGTACACTGCTGATTACAAGCCGCCATTGACCTCTGTTTGATGAAAGGTTCATGAAAATTTATGTGTAGTGGAATTAAGTGGCAGTAAATTGGAATGGCAAGGAAAGGTATTGTGTCTCCAACCATTTTGGCATTTCTTTGAATATTTTTGCATTTTTGGTGCTAGTCTAAATTTCTATTCAGTTATTTATGCAAATTGCTAGTGCCGTGAAGCTTCTGATTGCGAAAATCAAAGTATCTTGTAATCTATGACAGAATATTGATGGCTTGTTGATCCGAGAACATTAAGCAGGATAGAATAGAGGGGAATTTCTTTGCCAAGGGTGGTCACTTGCATGCATTTTACCTGATTTTTACATGGATAAGTAACCCACACAGATTGTCCAGGAAGTGTGGCTTGGATCAGTGATTTGACCCTGTCGTACAAATGACCTTGAAGCTTTAAAGTTTAATAACATTTGGGAAATGTTATGAAAAGATATGAAATCTGTATGGACTTTGTAAATTGTCCGTGGCAGAAGGGATGCCAATTAATTAACCTGTGCCTTTTTAAGGTAACTGAGTGGAAATGCCAAGGCCAGACCAATTTTATTTCTTGTTTTACGGATTTTTGTCATCAGAAAACCTAAAGGCAGGAGGTAAAAAGAAAATAAAGATAATAAATACCAAAAGTATTTTACTTTGGACAATTTATGAAGCGTATATGGGGCAAAACATAATCTAAAAAAAGAATTCTTGTAAGTTTACATTTTGGACCAATAACATTAGGATTTTATTTTTTGAGCAGGGAAAATTAACTGTTATTTTCTTTCTTATTCTTGAAAAAAATACCACCAGCCGGATCCAATGAAAACAAGAAATAAAATTGGTCTGGCCTAACTGGGTTTTGGGGGCTGCGTAAAGAGTCGGACACAATTCCGAGTTTTCTGATTGTATTCATCATAGCCTCATGAATTTTTTAAATATTTTCAATGTGATATAATTTCAATGTTGCTGACAAAGCTGTTTGACTATTTCCTTTTACTGTTTAGTTTGTAGTCCATTCATTCATTCATTCATTCATTCAATGAAGTGAAATGCAGTGAAAAGAGAAATATTGTTGGATGCTGTATGGCACTCCAGTACCTTGACTTGCAACAGTTGTAGTGCCAAGGTTGTTTTGTACAATGGTACTCTGGTTATCTATAATGCCTCGGTCAGCTATGATGGTACCGCTATGATCAAGAGTAATGACAGTGATCTATAAAAAATATTTATAATCAAGCCTGGGCCAGAAAATCTGGTGGTTGATATTTCCTCATCATGTCTATTATTATTATACCCCACCTCGCGTTTAGCTCGAAGCGGGGAATATAGTATTAGGCTCCGTCCGTCCGTCTGTACGTACGTACAAATTGGAATATCTTAAGAACCGTTGACTGGATTCTTTTCATATTTGGTACCTAGGTTCATCACAGTAAAAGTGAATGGTCCCAGTCAGGTATGGTGACCTTGAACTTTATTTTAAGGTCACAAGGGGACTATAACGTTTTACCCTTGTCAGCGAGATATCTCAAGAACCGTTCCCTGGATTTTCTTCATATTCAACACCAAGCTTTATCTAAGGAAGGCGCAGGGCCCAGTCAATTTTCGTGACCTTCACCTAATGTTCAAGGTCATGGCGACACTTTGAAGATTTCAGCATGTTAAGCTGCATGTTAAGCTTGTCAGCGAGATACCTCAAGAACCGTTTACTGGATTTTCTTCATGTTCGACATCAAGCTTCATCAAGGGAAGGTGCAGGGCCCAGTAGATTTAGGTGACCTTCACTTAATTTTCAGAGCAAGATATCAAGAGAGGTTGACTGGTCATGTTTTTGTTGACATTTAACTTCATCTTAAATTACGACCTTCACTTTCATTACTTTTTAAGTTTGATTTGATAATTTGCGGCGCGGGGGATTATGTCATGTTAGTGACAATGCTTGCTCTATAGGTCTTCAGCTTTAATTTGATATAATAGATCATGTATACCTCTCAATTTGATCAAATCACTCCCCTCAAAATGGGTTTGTTTCCTGCGCTATGAGCATCAATCTATGCAGTTGGAATTCGATAACATGCATCAACTAAGTTATTGAGCCTGACCTCCAGTTCCTGTTAGTGACCTCTACTATGACCTCTTATACCTGGATCTTGATGATTTGGTGATTATGCAGATACAGATTTGTACATGGTGTGTGTGTTTCAGGGGGAGTACATTGACAGCACGCCCGGGGCTGTGTTAGGAATATCTACAATGGCAGGTACGTGTTGCTTCTGCTGACCATTGTCGGCCATTTGCAGTCAGGTTTGTTTCATTTCTGATGTCCTGAGAGAGCCAACACTTGGCCAGCTAGCACTCTAAGGTGACATGCCTTGATATCAGAGATGCAACAGAATACCCTAGTCCATCCTCGATAATCTCCAGGGTATATGTTACGATAAATCTGCACTATACCCAGAGAATTTTATTACCTCGTTTGGCTAGTCTTTTATCCAATCAGATGTCTACGCTGGGAAGCTGGGAATGTACCAATCACAACTCGCTTTCGCTTCTTGAATTATCTAACCGATTAAACTTGGCAATACAATTGATGCAGAGGTACTCTGAAAGAGGTAGGAATAGCTCTTGCATATATTTTTTTTAAAGTTTCAGACCTGTCAATTTGTCTATGATTTCCCCCAAAATCTGAGTCGCACTGCGAACAAACCTTCGCAGCTCCAACTGCTACCTTTTTTGACAAGATTGGTTGTAACGGCGGCTTAGCTGATTGGCTACTGTGAGAATTCGGAGCAAGCAAAGTGAGGTAATAAAATCATTGTGCCGAGCCATAGATGCATCCAGGGTATAGTGGAGATTTATCGTAACGTATACCCTGGAGATTATGGAGGATGACCCTGGTCCTGATACGATACATATCCCAATACAAAGCTTGTGATACTTTTCTTATGCTAATAATGCTATTATTTCATAAAGAGTTGATTCTGTCTGATATCAGGTGAATCATAAATCATGGTTTATCATGGGATATGAAGAAGATGGGATATTGTAGGGTAGCACTAAGTTTGATTATGATATTTTATTTCATGAGTCACCATAATTCTCATTCCTTCTTGAACTTGGAGAAAAACGTCTCTAAAATGGTGCCCCACTGTGTTTAGTGTAGTTGTCCAGCTGAACCTTGGAGTGAAGGTCAGGGGTATTACTGAGTCCTGCTCACATTTTATGGGGGTGGTGGGGCAGCCTAGTGGTTAAAGCGTTGGCTCGTCACGCCCAAGACCCGGGTTCGAATCCCCACATGGGTACAATGTGTGAAGCCCATTTCTGGTGTCCCCCGCGGTGATGTTGATGGAATATTGCTGAAAGCGGCGTAAACCCAAACTCAGTCAGTTAGTCACATTTTATGGGTTGTTATTTTATTGTGAAGCACATTAGAGCACACTATATATTTTTGTCCATTTGAAAATGTTTCTTGATCCCTTACTTTTTTTGTTCAGTATATAATTGAAATTATGGCAGCAAGATCAAATATACTCAAATATGACAAAGCTACTGCTATTGAAATTTAGTGAAACAAGACCAAGTTTTTTTCTGCGCAGTGACATTTGTTCATTATCTGTTACTGTCACTGCTGACATTTTCTTACGGCTTGTCCTTCTCTGTCATTCACTAGCTTGTCCTGCCGGAACAAGACCAGATATTTTTTTTATTATATTTTTCTGTCTGTTTTATTCATTTCCAATTTGTAGCTTAAGACGAACATTGAAAACTTTCATAATTTCACAACTAGTCAGTGAGGACTAGAAAGATGTTTAGTTATCCTCAGACTAATTTAGTTGTCTCTGGCTTGTGCATTTTGAAAGTTGTTTACTAATAAGTGACTTCTGTTACAGCTGCTGGGTTGGGGAACTTAATCTCGGATGTAGCTGGACTCGGGTAAGTGATGCTTTGTTAGAGGAGGCTCCGGATATGTGTACACCCAGACTTATTATTTAGGCCAGACCAATTTCATTTCTTGTTTTACGGATTTTTGTCCTCAGAAAACCTAAAGGCAGGAGGACAAAAAAATAATAAATAAATAAAAATCACCAGTCAAAGTAATAATCCTTTTAAATACTAAAAGTATTTTACTTTGGGCAATTTATGAAGTATATATGGGGCAAAAACAATCTAAAAACATTTCTTGCACATTTACATTTTTGGCTAATAAAAATAGTAAAATTTTATTTTTTGAGCGGGAAAATTAATAATTTTTTTGTTTCTTATTCTTGAAAAAAATATGACCGGCGGATCTGTAAAACAAGAAATATGAATGGTCTGGCCTTACCATAGATCCATGTCTATAAAGTGACCCGACTAATATCCTACAACTCCCCAAATCCCTGTGTGTACTGTCCCCATATTTGCAATAATAATAGTAATGGCACTTTGTTTTACCTTCTCTTGTGTTGAGTCCATATTATTGTTGTGTGTTTTTCTGGTATATCAGAGATGCAGAAGTGATATTGGGATGGTCTCTTGGAAGTATATTCAACAAATAGGGAGCTGTGGGGTAGGCTAATGGTTAAAGCCTCTGCTCATCATCAAGACCTGGGCTCGATTCCCCACATGGGTACAATGTGTGAAGCCCATTTCAGGTGTCCCCTGCTGGGATATTGCTGGAATATTGCTAAAACTAAACTCACTCACTCACTCACTAACTCTTCAATAAACATGTTTTTAATCATCTTTCCAGATCTGCATCATATGTGGAGAGGCTCGCTGCAGCAGCTGGTGTGAGAGCACCCCCTCTCACACCCCCACAACTCGACATGAGGTCAACGAGATTTATGTCAAGTTTTGTGAGTTATTCCCCTTACGTCACTGTCCTTATTCACTCAGGTGCAGTTTGTAAGGCTGGCTATCGATATAAATCATACCGATCAATAATCGTTAATCAAGTATTGATTGATTATCAATAAATATTGGAGAAGTAACTTAGAGCAAAATGCCATAAAAGTCTGAAAGAAATTATATTTCACAGCAAAGATGAGTGGTGACATATTTTTGCTTGGAGTGAGGGAGTCACTTTGGCAATATTTCATCCATATCGTGACTAAATGAAGTTATACATTAATATAAATTAAAGGTAAATTATAAAAACCTGTTGACGAAGTACAGTAAAGCAACTAGATTATCACAGTTAGAAATTTAACACTAGTAACTAAATCTAAAACATTTTAACCATTCAAGACAATACAATATGAAAACAGGCCATAGATTGCCAACAACTGAAGGCAGATCACCACACCAGGGACATTTATGCTTGGAACAAAACAGTGTTCAGAACATACTTTAGAAGCTGCCTATACATATAGACTTTCAAATAGTTTCAGAATTGATATCAGGTTATAATCTGTTCATAGGAATAATTTTGTGGGAAAAAAAGTTTGTGATAAATTACCGGAAAAATAAACAAATTATTTGGAATAAGAATATATTTTTTCAGACATGAGAGTAAGAATAATTTAAATTAAATTATATGTGACTTTGGAATTGAAAGTAACATATGTTATATTTGGAATTGAAGATTTACAAAGTGTAAGGCAGGCTTAATTTTTAAAAATGAATTCAAATATGTATAGCTTTGAATTTGCCAAAGTGCAAAAAGGTTATCGTGGAAGATATCACAACAGATTTAGGGCGGTGGTTAGCTTGGTGGTTAAAGCGTTTTTGCTCATCACATTGAAGACCCGGGTTCGATTAACATTAAATTAACATGTTATTGCATATATAGGGAGATGTGTATGCATATTATTGTGGCTGCTTGATGTATACTTGATGTATGCATGGACTACTGCTGGCTTTGTTGAATGATACAATGCTACAGGGTAATATGGATGCACATACATTTTGTCAAGTATGGGCAGGGTAAAAAGTATAGTTTTTTAGTATAGTTTTTTACTATTCTTTGGTGCGATGTAAATAGGATCAAACTTCAGCACTTCCACATTCCAGGCAAACACTTTATCCACAAGTCCACGAATCCATCCTTGATGTACGTAGTCATGTGTTACTTTAAGTCTTCCAGTCTTTAGAAATGACTTGATGATTATTTCTAAAACTTCCTTTGTTTCAGGGCAAGATTTTTGGTATTTCCTTAGGTTGTTTGATTGGAATGTTCCCGTTGTTGTTCTTCAAAGATGATGAGAAGAAAACAGAAGAAAAATCAGAAATTGAGTCAACAGAGACCTCCGAGAAAGCCTAGTGAGAAGTAGTGGATAGGGAAATAGCACCTCTCCATCTTGCAGCATTCACTACCATCTGTTGGAACAGCAATACTCACAGGCTTGTCACCAACATGTGTTTGTGAACATGGGACCTCTGGCTCTTTACTGCAGAAAATTAGTTTTGCATACTGTTGTGAATTGGAAAGAATGGCAAAAAATGGAAATGGTGTTTCATTTCCGACTTAAGATTACGTTTGTGGAGTTATTCACTTAAAGGGAGAATGAAGATGGTATTTTCATTTGATATAAATGTACACTTTGTATATGTATTTATGACTTTTAATGCAGGTTATCTGCAAAGTTAGCAAAGGGAGGTAATTGTGTCAGACTATTGGTTAATGATCATTCAGTCATCTATCCAGTGATGATGGTGATGATGATGATGATGATGATGATGATGATGATTGCGATGGACTGACAATGGTTGCATGGAGTGGGGTAATTGGTTTAATCTTGATTGTATTGAGAATAACATGTTCGTTATGATGTCCAAGATTTACAGTACAGAATAACAAAAACAGTCAGTATTCAAAAATGAAAGGATTTATACCAGATCTCAAAACTATGAACCTGCCTCCAGTATGATATTAACTTCTGTTGTTTTGTCTTTTTAATTACCTATTTAGGTTTTTATATGTTGCCATGGCAACATTACTTTTGTTATGCTTACTATACAGTAATTTAGTCAACCGTGGTATTTTAAAATCAACAAGTTTATGTGTTAAGATATAGCCATGGATGAATTATGTATTGCTATGCTACACAATGCTGACACACATGAATTGGCTTCACTCAGTTCAATAAACAGTAATCTGAAAGTAGCATTTCTCTAGACCGCATGTATGTAGACAGTGTTTTAAAAGCATGTTTATAGACAGTGCACTAGAAGTATTTGGCTAGACAGTACTGTAACTCTTAGTGAATCTATAGACAGTACTTTAGAACAATGACTCCACACAGTACTCCAGGAACGTATCATTTGACAGAACTCTAGAAGTGTGCCTGTAGACAGAGCTCTAGAAGTGTGCCTGTAGACAGTACTCTAGAAGTGTGCCTGTAGACAGTACTCTAGAAGTGTGCCTGTAGACAGAACTCTAGAAGTGTGCCTGTAGACAGAACTCTAGAAGTGTGCCTGTAGACAGAACTCTAGAAGTGTGCCTGTAGACAGTACTCTAGAAGCATTTTACTAGACAGAACTTTGGAAACATCCCTCTAGACAGTACACAAACTTTGCACGCAGTAGATCATTGTACTAGACCATTCACAGACCATATTGACCCAGATACAAGAGTTACTAGACAGTACACAAAATTTGCATGCAGTAGATAATTGCACTGGACCATTCACAGACCATATTGACTAGAGGTGTGATGATACAGAAATTTCACGATACGATATGTATCGCGATATCTTGGAACAATACGATTCAATTCAATGCATATCACGATATGCTATGTTTAGTTATTTTCTTTAAAATAGTATATTTTGACAGCAAGTAACAGTGTAAATTTTGACAAAACCGTCAATTTCTAGTGAAAATTCACTACTTTAAGGTCAACGATACATATCACATACGAAAAAAAGTATCGATATATTTATTGTCAGATAAAGTATCACGATTATCGATACTATGATATATCGTCACAGCTCTAATATTGACCCAGATACCGGAGTTACTTGTCCTAGTCCGAAAATCTTCCCTTATGTGGCAATGTTAAAGGTCACATGCAACCCAAAAATCAAACATAATTAAAACACAATTATCACTTCTTCATGACATATAATATGCATTGCTGATTATGAAAAAAACAAATAAACAAAATTATAAGCGTATAATCGCAAATCAAAAGTGCAATATTTTGTACTTGGGTTTACCTCCCTCGAAACGAAGCAGCCGGGATACCGAACCCAGTCAGAGCGGGTGGGTGTGCACTCAAGTGTAACGGCTGGTTCATTAGCAGATGCTGCCTTCATGGCTCATTGTGTGTGTGTATATAGAAAGTTGGGTTTTGTAAATACATGCTCATTTTTTGTATAACATTTTGCAATCAACGGACATCATAACATGTCATGTGTTCAAGTATCACACCTGCCTGTCTGTGTAATTACATAATGTGACAGAGACCGAACTCGGGCCATAAATCAATGCGTTTTGTTTATGGTGTATAGCCTGATTGGTGTTAAGTTCAAATTGCATGTGGTCAGTGATCGCAGTTGTATATTGAATATTGTCATTAGCAGACAGGCAGGCAGACACACAGGTGTCAATCAAACAAGACATTGAGTTTTGTCTGTGACAGCGACATATCTATATCACAGTTAGAAATTGTGTCAACTCTAAATAATGACATTGCTTTTAAGTATCGAACTCAGAAAATGACTCGGTAAGAATAACGTGTGGTGAAATAGACAAATGAAATTATATAAACAGTTTATTTACTGTCATAACATAAAAAAAGCTTGCGCCTGTGAGATATCAACAAAACATTATGAAAATAGCTCACACCAAAGCCTCCACCGAGTATTCACCAGACAGCCCGCTTCCAAGTTGCGCGAACCTATTTCACTGCGCACGTGCTATGAGCGCAGCCCAGCTGTTGAAACCTGTATTCCCCAGAAAAGTCTGGGGAAAATTAGTGAAACGTTTGAACTCCGATTTCGCGCGTTTTTTTTATTCGCGTTATTTTTCAACTTTATGAGTTGAATTTGCATTTTTGACGCTTTGTTTCGGTAAGTCCATACCGAAAGGTATCAGAATCTGCAAAGTTGTGTTTTACGTTGCATGTGACCTTTAAGGATCCGAATTATTGTGAGTTAGGTAACGTTGATGAGACTGCATAAAGTCTGTGTTTTCTGGAAAAAGTGCTAAAATTATGTTGTGATTGTTATGAGTTTTCACTGATGCTTCTGACTGTAATGGTCAGAATTGATGAACTAGTCAATCATTACTGCTGACTTAGTTGGATTAAAGCTTTGAACGGATGTTTTCTTACAGATTGGATAGAGATGATTATGATCTGGGTATGTAAGTGAGTGTATGTTTTTCAGTGAATGTGAAGATGCTATGACAGTGGCCATTTTCAAGCTTTGAATTCTTGAAGCCATGAGTATTTTAACCAGATGTAAGCACAGAAATATGTTATGTTAACCATATGGGAAGGAATTAATGGTTGGTTTTTGTATCATTATTGCAGCAGATAACTCTATAACCTAATCCTACCACTACACAGTTCTAACAGTAATTACACTTTCATCAGTAGGCTTGGTGGAAGACAAACAGGTACTAGAATTTCTGTTGCCTGCAGTCTTCACTGCACACAGTTGAGTCAACTGGATCAGAATATGCTCTCAAGATAATTAAAATGTCTTTAGTGTTATGTTGTCAATTATTAGCTGAGCATTCTAAGCTGATTCATACTAGACTTTGGCTTTAGACAAGTGTCTAGATGGACAATTGTGTTGATGGACAAGTGTGTCAATGGACAAGTGTGTTGATGGACAAGTGTGTAAATGGACAAGTGTGTTGATGGACAAGTGTGTAAATGGATAAGTGTGTAAATGGACAAGTGTGTAAATGGACAAGTGTGTTGATGGACAAGTGTGTAAATGGATAAATGTCTTGATGGACAAGTGTGTAAATGGACAAGTGTGTTGATGGACAAGTGTGTAAATGGACAGGTGTGTAAATGGACAGGTGTGTAAATGGATAAATGTCTTGATGGACAAGTGGGTAAATGGACAAGTGGGTAAATGGACTAGTGTGTAAAGTCGCAGTATGGCCTTGGTTAGACTGGAACAGTACAGCATCCAGTATAGAGAAGTGTGCAATAGCTGCATCTGTATCCAGATACTAGGCAGTTCCTATCATTAATAATCCTGACCAGTGTCCAAGAAACCCTGGTGGTCTGGGCAGCGCCATAACGTCCTGGACATATATGTTCCCTTAAGGTTTCTAAAGTTCCTGAACCAACAGGGTTTATTTGAATACTGGGAACGATTTAGAATGGTAATTATTTTATCATTCGAAATGTTCTTTGTTATTTATTAACTACATGTATTTTATTGTATTCCTCATTTACTCATCTGTCCTGTTTTAGTATCATTGCTTTAAACATATCAAAGTGTTGTCAAATTGAGTTGTAGTATGATGTGAAACAAATTGTGTATTGTATATTCCTGTATCAGACTTCTGTAATTTTTATCCCCCGCAAAGCGTTTTGCGGGGGGTATTAAAATGGACTCCGTCCGTGCGTCCGTCCGTCAGTCCGTCCGTCCGTCTGTCCGTCCGTCCGTGCACATTTGTCTTTTCCGGAGCATAACTCTAGAACCCTTCAATGTTTCTTCACCAAACTTGGCACATAGATAGATCTGGTGGTGAACTGGTGCCTTTTGGTAGTTTGGGATTTCTGAATAAAATATTTTTGGCGTTTCCATGGCAACAAGTTTGACTTAGACTGAAATTGGTGGTTGTGCTCTTTTCCGGAGCTGAACTCTGAAACCGTTCACTATTTCATCACCAAACTTGGCACATACATAGATCTGGTGGTGTACTGGTGCCTTTTGGTAGTTTTGGAATTCTGAATAGAATATTTTTGGCGTTTCCGTGGCAACAAGTTCGACTTTGACTGAAATTGGTGGTTGTGCTCGTTTCCGGAGCAGAACTCTAAAACCGTTCAATATTTCTACACCAAACTTGGCGCATAGATAGATCTGGTGGTGTACTGGTGCCTTTTGGTAGTTTTCGAATTCTGAATAAAATATTTTTGGCGTTTTCATGGCAACAAGTTCGACTTTGACTGAAATTGGTGGTAGTGCTCTTTTCCGAAGCAGAACTCTAAAACCGTTCAATATTTCTTCATCAAACTTGGCACATAGATAGATCTGGTGGTGTACTGGTGCCTTTTGGTAGTTTTGGAATTCTGAATAAAATATTTTTGGTGTTTCCATGGCAACAAGTTCGACTTAGACTGAAATTGGTGATAGTGCTCCTTTCTGGAGCAGAAACTTGCAAAACCTTTCAATACTCTCCTTCCACTTTTCTATATACACACCTAAATATTTGGCATAATCATAACTCGTAGACATAATCATGAAGAGTATTTTGCCATTGCGGGGGATATTGATGACTTTGTCCTCTTGTTTAAACAACCCTGCCAAAATAGCTCTGAAAAAAATCTAAGATAAAAAAGTAAACGGAGCATATTTCAGGGGCATGTAGTGACAAATTGTATTTGGTATACCTGTATTTTATAATTGTTCACAAAACCAACTGATAGTCTAGTTAACAAAATGCATCTTGTTGCTAGTGTATCTAAGACCCTCTGTCCAAGTTTTCACATTTTTGGTATGTGTGCAATAGATCACTTTCGCAAGCAGTTCGGAGATAAGATATAAATCTACAATAGCAATACATGATTTGACAATTTATTGAAGAAAACATACTAAAAGCTGATCTTACGCATGACACAGGTTCAACAAGGTTTTTCACACAGACTTTTCATAATAGGTTTTTTATAACCTGTAGTCAGTGAAATATCAATAACTTGAACTCAGTTACTCAATGAATACTCTTGAAGATATGTAACTGTTCATATCCAGTTAAATCGTTATCAACATTATACCCAAATATTGGTGGTTTTTGGTCTCAAACTCCAGAAAACATACATATTCAAAGGCTCTTGGGAGTTTGATCATCAAGATTTCTGTGTGTACCGATTTGAGAGGATGACATTGATTTGATTGCAGCATGTTGTGGGTGCGTGCTGTGACGATATTGAGGATTTTGTGAACTATGATGGCCGCCTCTCTGCATGTTGCAACACGATTATGTTGGTTATTTTGTCCTTCAGACCTACTGATGTTTCATGTATGGATCAAATATGACAAAATGTCTGCAAAAAGTTGACAGGATTCACTCAGAATTGATTTTTCAACTGTCTTGAAAATATAAATTCTAGTAAGTATAACATCTCTGAGTGGCATTTTTAGAAGTTGGAGAGTCA